TGGCATTGCGATCGAACAAAGCTGGATGACCCAGAAGGAACCGCACGTTCCCAGCGATGTCTTATCGGGGTTGTGCATAGGTCGACCGACAAACTCTGGTGAATCTGTGCATCCAGGCCAGCTCTCGCTTCATGCATGAATGACGGGCGAAAGCCAAGAAAGTGCGCGTTTCCCTCCACATGTATCGCCAGCTCTTCTGGAGGAAGGGGGATGGGACGAGGGCGACTGCAGTTGTTGCCACTTCTGTTCTAGCGCCTCCACCTCTCGCTGGAGCTCGGCCTCACAGTTTGATGGTCTTCTTCTGTAGGTCCGCCATGGTTAGCTTAGCTGTCGGAGAGACCAGGGAATCCTGCTTGTCCTTGCAGTCCTTCCCCGCCTAGCCGGCGTTGTGAACCAACAGAAGGTGACCTCAGCCGGCACATCGGCGCTGTGTCTTCGGCATGCGTGGCGTGAGAAAGCCGAAGACTGGATAACTAGTCGAGAGGATTCCGGAATCAATTGCTGCCTGTCCTGCCCCTGGCAGGTTGACGTCAGACTGACACGACAAGGGCTGGAAGGCATGCTAATTACAAACTTCATTCCCGGGGCTCCCAAAATATCCACCGTGATTGGTCCGAATAGATTGAATAATTTCAAATTCACCGCAAATCTGATTGACATTTCCTTCAAGAAATCGTGCGTTAACTCGCTTCCTGCCAATTAAATGCCCATTTCCGAGGGTCCTGACATTAACCTACGGGTCAAATTTGAAAAGTTCATGAACTTTTGACAATGCTGACGGACCCTTTAGTTGCTTTTAATAGGTTGTTCCAAATACTCAATAGTTTTGGTCAACATAGCTGCAATGCAAAGACATTGACATCATGGAAGAGTCCACTAATCAAGGAGGGTTTGCGCAGTTACGTCTAGACGTGTCTGACAGGCATCGCATTGGGCTTAACCTCAGGTCGCTACGTTAGCGGTGTGGTTGATAACAATTCACCTCTGTCCAATCTGAGGTCAATTAAAAGACAAGCGGCTTAGACTAAGCGCTATCACATTTCGTTTTCACCGTATGTATACTAGTATTCAACTGCTGTGGGGATTGTACATGTTACAATAGCGGGGTAGAACTTGTGCTACAAACCCACAAACTTACTTATAAGGTTTACGACAAATTCAGGGTCGATCGTCTTCATGAAATGCTTCTCAATACGTTTTCACAAACATAATTTGCAGGGTGTTATACTGTACGGATTTTCCTCTAGACGTTCTGCTGCTTATGTACAAAGTTGAATAGTTGCAGCTGTTTGTCCTTGAGCGCTATCTGATCGCTGTTCAAGGCCGTGTTGTTGGGGATGATACAATAACGCTAGCAGGGGAGAACTGTGTTCCTGTAGAAAGGCTGGGATTTCCCGACAATAAGACTATAATAGTTTTTAAACTGGTTGTGATAACAGCCAGGAGGAGACTCCCTCCCCTGGACACAGCTAATTTTAGGGGGTTTAAAATTGATACAATCACATTATCGATTTTTAGGCAAACAGAGGGATAGAAACCATGGTTAGAAACCAATCAAAATGTGCATATTAATAATTTTCTTTCTTCAGAAGTTTTTTTCTTCTTCTTTTTTAAATTCAGAAAACAGTATTTTCTTGGATGTGTAGTCCTAAAGATGAGACCACTTATTTAGAGAAGTGGAATTTTGTTTTGGGGTGTGTTTTTCTTTTGATAAGGGACTTGTTTACAAGGTGAGTGGTGATTAGAAAAAGGATGAGAAGGAACCCTGCAAAAGGTAAAGCACTAAAAGTGAACTTCTGTGTTAGGAATCTTTCGAATTTAGCGTAGAGCGTAGAGAGGCTTCTTGAATTCAGCGCAATACGTAGCCGGCTCTCAGAATTTAGCGTTGTCGGGACCCCCCTTGCAGGGCCCCTTGAAAGGGCTCACACAGCACATTTTCTGTATCTCTTCGTATTCCCGTCTTAAACAGTGAAAACGCAGTGCCACCGAATCTGTTCTGTTCTCCGTGACCTCATTTCCCTTTCCTCAGGCCAAAGTTGGTAGTCTGAGCAATTTCAAGGACACACAGCTCAGGCGGCAGCGTACCGATACTCCCTCAGGTAAACAGGAGTATGTGGCCTTGAAGCTGTGGCCTTGGTATGGCCAAATCAATGTACTGCCTTACATATGTGTGCTTGCTATAGAAATAAAAAAAACTCTTTATTTATGTTTTTTTGATTGGATTCCAGCCAAAATAGTTACGTATTTTAAGGTGTAAGTCTATGGGACAGCGAAATTGGCGTATGAGACCTTAAATACTAGTAGCCGATTTAGCTTAATACACTACATTGCGAACCTGTCTATATTAGCAACCGCTAATATTTCTATCTAGTGTTGATCTATACGTTAATAGGATAACTAGAGGAATTGTAAATGCATTTTCATGATTCTTTGTATGTGGGTAAAAGCTCGTCCAAGTTAGAAGGGCATTGAATGTTGGGGCAAATCAAAAGTTTATAAATTCGCAGTATTTCCTTGAGGATATAGATTTAATAGAAGCCTTGGCTTTTGTAGGCTATAGCTATAGCAATAACTGGCGGATTAATTAATAGATACAACCAGCTGTGTCCATACAATACGTTTAGTACGCGTCTATGGGCTTCGTGAGAATTTCGCTCTGTCCTCGACGTCGCCAAATAAAGGCGTGTGCTGTGCCTTATAAGGTCTGACATGGCAGGACAGCCGATTAAAGATAGCACCAGCATGTTACACAAGGCCCCATAGCGCTAGCAAAACAAGCGACGAATAGAGCAGGGGATCCAGAGATGGTACTAGTATTGTCTGTAGAATGCTTTGTTCCATGGGTTTAGTGAGTTAGAGCTCTGCGAAGGTTTCAGCTCGGACCTTTCTTTCAACGAGGTGAGTTGAACTACATTAAAAACCGCGCACGATATCTACATCAAGCTATATTTATACTGTATCAGTGTATGATGTGACAAGATGTCACAGAAGGCAGATACCCTCTATAATATAAGTAGCTCTCCTCTTGGTAACGCTGCATTGTCTTTTTCATCGCTGTATTGGAGATGCATGAACGTTCTCTTTCTTTTCTTTTCAAAAATAAACAAACTAGGAAGAGGAGCCAGTGAAATATCTAGGCAAAAATTACTGTTTCAAATTTGATGGGAGGGACACAAGGAATTGTTAATACTCAAGCAACTGAATAAATTTCGAAAACTGTCAGACGTTTCATGTAGCATCCACTGCTCTTCGTCAATGTCTTGATGGTGGGTCCAGCTATTCCTCTTGAATAGCATGGAGGTTTACCTCCATGTGAATAGCAAATTCCCGGCCTTTCTTTCCCCTTGAGAATTGAAAGACGACACTCAATCAATCTACTTAAGCAACTGGTCTTGACACTTAAATCACACATAGATGGTCCATGATGATTGTTGTGTAAAAACAGTCCCTTTATTTAATTTTACTCACAAAAGTGTATATTATGGGAGAAAATAGGCCATTACAATCATTGGTGGAATTTCTAACGTCTAGACATTCTTTGACACGTCTGTTTTTTTTTTTTTTTTTTTTTTTTTTTGTTCTCCACACACAACCACCCCCCAGCCATGAAGCCTAACCCTTACGTGGACGCCGCGGAGAGAAGCCGGGTGTACTCCACCGCTGACGTCACCTGTCTGCTGCGTGACGTCAGAAACCGCTTCCTCACCTTCGTGTATGCAATACCATGTTAATTGCCTTTGACAGAAGGGTATAAAATCGGTTTGCCTTAGTGTGGAAGACTGTGGATTCAGCGGCATAAATCCTGAAAGCACGGATCGATGTTCATGACTTTTTGGCAGGCAGGTTACCGTTGGGGAGACCAAGGTCAAGTGCAAAAATGGGCTTTGTGGGGGGTCCCTACGTTACTGCAGTGGGCCTTTTGTTTTTGTCGCTTGTTATCAATAGAGTTAGATTAGTATACTTAGTGTCATTATTGTTATATATGAAAGTAGATCAGCTTCTTAAACAGTTAGAACTGTCTCCTTACCTTACCTCTTTCGAACTGTTAGATATTGTTAGCATCACCAACCGATGTACGAGTACCCGTTACATCTGTCTGTCGTGCAATAAAGTTTGTCTCCACCAGACTCCTTTGCAAGGCTGAATGAATAGTAGAAATCAGCCAAAAAAGGGGGTGGCATTGGCCAGAGAAGTTGGCCGGACAGAGAGGGTACATTCCGTACAGGCAAATTGGACCCTCTCTGGCCGGCCAACTCCTTTGGCCAATGATATCCCCTTTTTGGTCGATTTCTACTATTCATTTAGCCTGCAAAATGAGTCTGGTGGAGACTACAATAAAGTTCTTCTTCTATTGTGCAGCCACCACCGCTCAAAAGCGACCCCTGGCGACTCTCCCCTGGTGGAGAACGAGCAGCTAGCCGTCGTGCTGGACCCCTGCCATGGAGAGAACGTGTCGCACGTGCTGGAGAGCGTTGCTCCCACTCTTCGCGTCTGTTGCCGAGAGTTACACGGGACTTGGAGCACCATGCCTAGCACCGTACTCCTACCCTTCTACACACCCGAGCGCTGGCGGCTCGTCGCCGCGCAAATGGATTACGAGAAGCGTTCGGCAATTATCTTCTGGATCGATCCCCGGGGCAGGGGAGCGTTTCCAAGGCGTCTCATGGATTCAATTCGTTTTCCATTGGCGAATTACATCTCTGAGTTTACGCAGATTCAGTGCGGGTTGACAAACGCGCATACGACACAACCGGAACGGCCCTTCGTGATGATCAACGCACGGGAGTTGGAAGAGGACATCCAAGGGTACGGTGTGAACGAGATCGACAGCGGACCAATCGTCGTGCAGATCGTGAGGGACTTCATCCTGGGGACGAGCGTCCCTTCCATCCTACCTGCGTGCGACCCTCAACATGAGGACCAAATGGCGGAAATTCGCGAAGCAGACTTGAAGGTTCTGAAAGAAGTCAGACTCCACAACTCCGACTATATCGAGAGAGAGAATGGGGAAGAACTCTTCATAAGATGATTTCAATGATTATAATAATAAAAAATGATAATTTTCTGAATTCACATGGCCATGAGTGTTTTATTTTCTCGTGAATCATTGAAAATGGCAAGTCAAGTCAATTTCTTGCAGAACAATCATAACAGGACAAGCTCTTCAGCGGGATTACATATCTCGCAGCTCGCTGAAATCTACTCTAACGTCTATAGTACTAGTAATGCTTATACGTTCTATGCATACTATCACTATACTATTTCATAAAGGTTACAATATATATACACATGTATATGATACTGTAACGTTACTTACTAGGGCATAACGTTAATCGTCAAAATGACCTTGACCACTCAAAACCATTTCCTGAACTCCTGAAAAATTCCAGCTCAAAATTCGATATAAAATGTATCAGAATGTTCAATCAGGTAGTAAAAATCTTTCGTGTGTTTGTCATTCTTGTCACTAGAACAGTCAAAGGTGGACAAACTATACTCTTTCAGTCTTTGGCCATCGAATTACTCATGATTTGGCGCGTTTTGATGTTTTGATATTTCGAAATTCGCGCCATTTTTGTGACGTCATCCAGGTGTGCTCGCGATCGACCCTTTAAACCCATACCAGCTCTCGCGAGACGACGTGACTCACCCGAGACTTGGCGAGACTTTGACGCGTTGACGACAAACAAAACATGGCGTAAATTCCGGTTGGAATGTTGCACATCGTCCCGGTTTGAACGGATTTTGGAGCCTTAGATGGAAGCAGCGATGGCCGGAGAGTTAGACGAAGAGTCCCTCCAAGAGTTGTACTCCTGGATCGACGAGATTCCTCTGACTAGACCCAAGAAAAACATCACCAGAGACTTCAGCGATGGCGGTAAGGTGTCAGATAACACCTTTCAGGATGTTGTGTTTCTTACGTCGTTTTTTCGTCACCCAAAACCCTTTCAAGATGCGATATTTGTCGTGTGTTTGCACACATTTGTGTAAATCTTATGAAGTAAGAATCATAAATAGTCTATTTTGCTGCTTTTGTGACATATATTAGGCACAACATAGAGTCTTAGATATGCAGGGTCAGACCTTGGAGTTTATGAAAAGACGATTAGAAGCTTTAGAATCACTGTAAATTATTAAATCGCAGGGATTTACTGATATAAAAGACATGGGTTAGACATTGGCCTGTGGTACAACGCACGTACAAAGCATCGTATTTACATAGAATTTATATTATAAACTCACATGTACACGTCAACACCATCATTTGTAAGAGTATACTATGATCTTTTGTTGAAAGGGCATATTATGATATGAATTCATGGAGGTGTGTTTTTTTTACCACTCAACAACATCTAAAACAAAGGGAGCTGGGAGCATGTCATATCATAGTCATAAAAACACAAAGAGAAATTTTAATGTGTTGAAAATACAATAAATTTGTATTACAAAAAGCAAGGGCAAAATATAATTTTGTCATGTTTGACCCATGTACACTCAATGTAAAATCCCATGATATCCATAATCTTCCACAACAGTACAGCTTGTATAACCTCATAATGACATAACATGGATCAAGCACAACTTTTAAAGAGCACTGCCAAACACAAGTACCGTAAAGTTCCAAGAGGCAGACTACGATTTCGATTACAGGACTTATGTATAATTATAATAACTTCTAGTACCACAAATTGTATTTCATAGGCTTTTTTTAGCAATGCCGATTCAGATGGTTGATCTCCCCGTTTTGTATTATATGATTACAGAAATGTGACAACCACAAACTTTTTAAAAAACTTTAAAAGATGCACATACATATGTATATACATACATGTATACACATATTTGTGATAAGTCTTCAAAATTTGAGTGTTGTAGCATCTGGGAATTTGAACATCAATTTATATATGTGGACTATTATACTTTCCAGAACTCAATATTGAGGGATGTACTCGAGTACCTACTAATACGTGTCACTGTGTAATAACATGTCATCAGAAGTGATTTATACATAAACACAATGTCTCATCAAATATTAAGAACCGATACAGACAGCCATGCAAGTCGCACACACGCCACGCCGCGACCAACCATGGGAACGTGAAAATATTTGGTTTCGGGGTTAATCTTCGTGAGTTGGCCTCTCAGCATGAAAAACATCCATGCTCGTAAGTTACACACATCTTGATAGGGTGACAGCTTCACCACACAGAGAAAAGATCAAGGCTGAATGTTGCGTGTGAATGTCAGAGGTCTGTGTGTACAATCGTCTGACATCTATTCATTAAGTACATACACCATAATAGTATATATGTATATATATATATATATGAATGAATGAATGAAAGACCTTTATTGTACGTTTGTGCTCTAACAAGCTAAGTACAGGTCATGAACAAACAGGGAAAAAGAATACAGTAATGACATTTACATACTAATACATACTAATGTGATCTACTATTTACAGGTTCAACTACTTCTCGTTTCTTGACGCAGTTAAAGATGTACGAACATATTGAGCTATATGTACCATGTAAGCATATGGCTTATGGGAGCAGTGCCTGAGAAGAATAGAGGGCGAGGAATCTATTAGTTCAAAAGAAACACTAGTACTAGTAGTAGATCTAGCACAAGATATGCAAATTGCATGATTACTGTAATTAATGCAGTTACTTTCACAGTGGTTTCATTTGACAGTAGCAGGGAAAATGTTAACCACAAGCAAATGAATAGTGATTTTAAGTATCACTTTGCCTTTTTTTTGTCATCACTTCCCTGAGGTATTGTTTTTGGTGGCTGAGCTCTAGGTTTGTGAATGTATAATCTGTAAGGACAGAGTAGGTTGACAGCACATGGGTGGGAGAAAGATTGACAGACAGAATGACATGGGGGATACCAAAAGGTCAGGCATGGGAAAGAGGCATGAACTAGGGAGTAAGCTGAGAGCCCATGGGTGGGGGAGAAGATTGACAGGCAGAATGACAGGAGGGATGAAGATAAAAACCACAAAACACCCAAATATTTCCCAGAACAGTACTCTCATCTTCCGAATAAACATACGGGTACGTTTATTTTTTTGGGCCCTAACATCCACCCAGTACGTTCTTATTTTGCACAGTACGTTTATTAATTTTTTGAAAACCAGTAATTTTTTTCAACTTCGTGTGAAAAAAATTGACAAATCATCGACGTGAAGACGTTTATAAACGCGTATTGTAGCGAGAAACTTGTCATTTTCGGGCCGGTTTTTGCAATCACCGCGTGCATAAATTCATCTGAATGTTCTATTGTCATGGGTGGTGCTTATCAAAATACGAAATATTAAATGCCCCCTTTTTTTTGTCTATTTCAATTCCTAATTGCAAATAACAGTTAAAGATTTGTGCATATATCAGTAAGGGCGCATTTTAGTACAAGAGACACAGGTTACCCGTCAATTTTGGTAATTTTCCGGGGGGTACGTTTATTCCGGGGGTATGTTTATTTGATTTTGAAGATTTGTCCGGGGGGTACGTTTATTCCGGGGGGTATGTTTATTCGGCAGATGAGAGTAGTCTGAAATCTGTAATTTGTTGTAGCCAGGGTACCATCCTGGTTAGTTTGAGACACTAGCAACTGTTGGAGCAGATGTAAACCTACCAGGATGGTACCCAGGCTACATTTGTTTTACACAAGCTGCACTACATAGTGCTCTGTCATACTCATAGCTAATGTTGTTTCTAATCTAATGTTTGCAGTGATGGCAGCAGAGATTGTAAGACACTTCCTGCCCCGAATGGTGGACCTACACAACTACAGCCCTGCCAACTCCACACAGCAGAAACTCAGCAACTGGGGAACTCTCAACAGGTCAGCTGCCATTACAGAGTCCAATCTAGTCTAAACAAAACCTGGGTGATGTGGTTTCAGTTTGTTTAGACTAGTAGATTGGGTTTTCTTACCACTTACTTTCAGTTTACCACAGAAAGAACTGTGATTCACTTTATGTTCAAGATAGCAAAAGTTTATGGTCTGAGAAAAGTGGAAGTGTTCACTGAAATATATGTTCACGGTGCATGGTGACAGGTGTAGAAAAAAGAAAGTCGGTGAATTATTTCTTGATGCTGCAGCGTGGAAAGTTGTCCCTTTGTACCTGACCCCTGGCTGTGAAATTCTGGTGAGAACAGTGAACAGAGTGCAAGGAAAAAGTCATTGACAGTGCAACCGTTGTATGTCTTCTATAGGAAAGTCTTCAACAAGTTGAACTTCCAAGTCCCAGACGACGTGATGCGAGCGGTGTGTAACTGTAAGCCTGGGGTGGTGGAGGTGGTGCTGAACCAGCTACGACTCAAGATCATCGCTTATCTGGAGAGGAGGAAAAAATCTGCAGATGTAAGACACTGCTCGCTCGTTTATTTGTTTGTTTGTTTGTTTGCTTGTTTGTTTGTTTATCATTCAGTGGCTAATTGCTCACAATAGCAAATTCTATACAAAGAAAGAAGAACTAAGAGTGGTGGTTCCAAGTACACATTCCTATTTTTCCAATACACATGGATTGTTTCCACATTCATACAAACCTTTTGTTATCATAACATAGATGTATTGCATTTTTATGAGACACACACACACACAGTGACACACCTATTACTACACATGAAGTTGATTTTTTATACCAATACACATAACTGATCTGATACACACCTATTGTTGAACAATACTAACACACAATACACACTGAGAAAAATTACTTGTACTGAGTTAACACACCTTTCATTCCAACGCACATACACATACATTATTTGAACAGACATGTGTATCTATGGTTTCAAGCATTGTTGTAATTCTGACTAGTTGCAGTGAACACCTACTAGTATTTCTTTAACACACAATCACACTTGGTGTTGCAGGCGGAGATGAAATCCCCAGAAGGTTACAATGACTATTATCACATGAATGGGCATGACATGTACGGAGGAGGCAGGAGCTACATACAGGACCCCTATCCACTGCCAGGAGGTAGGTTCAATTCTTCAAATTCAATTCTTTATTTCCATACCAGCATTGCAGACATGCCGCTCCTGGGATGTCGAATTCGGAAGATTCGAGTACGAATCTTGAAAAGAAAAGGGGGAGTAGTGTAACAGTGGGGGGTTTATAGGCGCTGCCAACTGACCCGGCCGATGGGTGTAGACCTTTTAGCTGATTCAGTAGGAGCGTTGGATTGTAAGCTGGCGCCCTGGACCAGGAGGCCCAGGACCAGGAGGGTTTATATCTGATTCTACTGCTCGCCTCCTGTTTCTTACAGTCTATATATGTTGGGAGCAGTTTTCTTCGTATTTCATTTTATCAGATGCTTTGAACATGTTACCTGGGTTAATGTAGGAGTAAGCTAGTAAAACAGTAAATCTGAATTAGAACTTCAGTGGAAGGATGTAGAGAAACTGGCCGCTGACCAAACCTACTGAACTGCTCTGACTGCCTCTAAGTATAAGTCTAAGTAAGCTAGGTATAGAAGCTAGTAGTTACATGTACTAGTACTTCATTCTCTAGTTTGTGGGCTTGTTCTCAACAGAAAATGAAATCCAGAATAAAACAGTTTTCCCTTTTCTTTTGTTGATAGTCTGCTAGAATAAACAGTCAACTTGAACTGGAAGCAAGCAAACATGTATAATAACTGAACCAATCACTCTTAAGGGCAAGTTTGAATTTTTATTAGCAGAGTGTTAATGAATCTAAACGTGTGGTTCTTGAATTATGCTAAAGCTCAAATTTCAAGACTTGAATTTCTGTTGAAACTACAGTATAAAGAATTAGGGACTAATGTTTGCACATCTTTTGGATTGTCTGGTTTTATATTAAATTTTGTTCTTTGTTTATTTTTAACTTTCCTTCTGAAGTGCAAGCATTGCCAGAAGGACAAATCACCTCTCGCCCATCCAGCCTTGATGGTAGATCCATGCATCATACTTACGCACCGTTTTCTGTTGGTCTGTGAAAGTGTGTCTTTGCACAGTGAAACTGTTTCAAGTACACTTCAAACTATACCTTGTAGAGCGCTAAGTATTGAATTTGCTTTTTGTGAAAAAGACTTCACAATGTGTTCTTAGTGCTCTTATAAAGTGTTTTCACTTCCCACACAAGTACAAACTGCACTCTAGTTCACATATGCACAGAAAATCTAATCACTAGAAGAATGCACACCATTTCAACATTCATCAGTACTGTCTGTCTATCTATACTCAACCATAAACTATCAGATATCAGCTATGCTGTTTTAATATTGGGAACCATGTGAGGGAAAAGTAAGGGGTGTTAAATTACTTAAAACAAAATTACCCACCCCTATTGACTCCAAAAATGGAACAGTTGGAGTGTAATCAAGTTATGTGTATCCAAAGTGACAGGTTCTGTTGACAGTAAACAAAGGATCATAGTTCCAAAAGTGTTAAGGTTAAATAGTCCTTAATTGATAAATGTTTTTGAAAATTATGCCTGAAGTTCACAATTCAGCAAATTATCAGTAAACCATGTATAGAGCTCATATCAGAATATTGCTTCTTTGAACAGCAATAATTTTCTTGTATTGTTCCAGTTTGTTTATTTGTTGTTGTTTTTTTTTTGTTTATTTCCAGTTGACCCCTACCCCCAGTTCCGTGACCCCAGGATGCAGAGACCCCAGATGGCCAAAATGTCACCTCGGAATGGCTCTATGGAGGGACAAGACAGGTGGGGCCGCGAGGGGAAAAATGGCATCGGGAGGTAAGAAGAGGACTTGTTATTCTTAGTGTCATTACGTAGCCCACCAATGAGGAATGGGGATACATTTTGAAGTTGTGATGTGATTTGTTACATGCGAAGCTGGTGTGTTACGCCGAAAGGCGGTTATACCGGCTATACAGATACAGATACAGAAGGAGGCCACAGCAGGTAAATTTTATGGATGACATCCTTAGACTCCAAATATGAAGTGATAGGCATGTACAACATTGTGTCCATTTTCGGCATGTTGTCCACTGTCAGAGACCATGAAAATTTATTTTCTTTTTTTTAACAAAATCAGGCAAAAATCAATGCGCGTGCTGATGATCTATAAAAATTGCTTGCTGTGGCCTTAGAAAGGTATACTAGTATGTAGAACCATTTGTTGCAAAGTTTAGGAATGTTTATTACAGGTATTTTGAACAGAGACTGGTATATTGCTGTATTTCTGATTGATTCTGCCTTCACTTGCTCACCCCCAAAACCTGAGTGGTACAGCCCTATGCACATGTTGTTCGATTATTGATTGGGTGATACCATTGCAAGAATGGAGGTGGGGTAGTGAACAGAAAGGGACAACCCACAGAAAACGGTGCTTTGAAAAGAAGAAGGTGGTGGCAGGTTTCCCTACTATTCTGTAGAAAGACACAGTCATAGCCAGTATTTTAGTGTAGTTTGGTTTAATGCATGTTGACTAGAAAGATACATCTTTCTCTGTTATCTTAAAGTCTCTCCTTAGTTGTTTCCTGAAGAAACCACAGTTACAGAATAGATTTTGAGAGTTGTGGTTTTTAGTGGTCTTCCTATCCTATGGGTTACGAATAATAGAATTTGGCAAAGAATAATTGGCCAGAAGAGTCAGTCCATGGGAGGGTTAGTCCCCCTACGTGTAACTGTGCTAGGAAGTGGACTATGTTGGCTAAACTCCCCTGGCCAAGTATTCTCCATATTTGGCTAAATTCTCCTTTTTTAAACCTACTAGTATGGTGCATGTTTGGTGATATTAGGTCAAACAAAATTGAGATAACGGGAAAATACATGCACAGTATTTCAGGCTGGCTAGGACCCCAAGTCCTAGCTGCTTTCCCTGTTTTTTGGTCTCATTGCCACTTATGCCTGTTACAGCGGAGGCCAGGTGCCCAGAACCAGGTCGATGACCCGGGTCAACGTGGACGGCCTTGACCCTGAAGTTCGGCTGCTGCTGGAGGAGAAGGAACAGGCCTTCCTGGCATCACAGGAAACTGTACATGTATGTGGAAACATTTTTTAACAAACTAACTAAAAAACAAACAAACAGGTCTTTTATACATTGATGAAGACTAGACATCCAGGTAAACAATATTCAAAGGCAAATCAAACTCTATTAGTATTACTGGATGAATTGTACTTCTAAGCGTTTCAAGTGACATACGTCACTCTTCCTCTGCACCACTAAAATGAGAGCACAAGTCAACACTAATCACATGTGTAGTAGAGTTTGAATTGTCTTTGAAAACAGATCTTTTGTCTGTTATAGTTTTTTTTTTCAAAAACCAATAGTGAATTCCTTTAATATGTTGGAACAAAGCTGTTGCTAACATGGTAGGCATTGTAGATGGATAAACCAGTTGACTTTCCCAGCCTAACACGAACTCCCTTTACAACTTTTTCCCCAGATCCTGAACGCAAAGATCCGGCGGCTTGAGCACCTCCTGCACCTGAAGGACATCAGAATAGAGGACCTGAACAGGAAGCTGGGCCAGTACTCCCAGAACGGGCACTCCTGAAATCACGCAGAGGACAGCCCCGCACCGGGACCACGGCATAGTTTGACCTCTGATGTAGAAAAGATGACAAAAATGAAAAATAGACTTGTGCAAGGACAGCACAGGTGTTCCCTTCTCATACTTGACAACTTGCACAAAGAGGCAAGGAGTCTTGACACCTACAAATACAACATAGACTGCATGAAGCTACCTCCTTGGCTTACAAAATATTTCTGTCAAAACAAACTAAGAGAACTACTGTACATGTAATACTATATGAAAACAGGTCCATAGAAGTCCAACATCCTTTGAGGTGATGAGTACCGGTAGGATGTCTGCATCATCATTGCTTCTCAGTTGACAAGCTGTCTCATTTTTCTCAGTCAAATGTACCTGTAAAAAAGCCATTCTGTCCCCCAACACAGCTTGTGTAGTTAAAGTGTATCCTGAAGTTCATTGGAGTTTAGAGGTCTTTTTTATAGCAGGTTGCCATGGTGATGTAAGGATGTTAAGTCTAGTTGCGGGCGAAAGACTGTCGAGTTGTAAATATGAATATCCATCAAAATCTGTTATATTTATAGTGGCGTTGCACTTCTTAACTTATTAGTAAGACATTTCATATTGAGGTCCTATAGTGTTCTTCCACCAAAAGAAAATAGGAATTGGGTGAATGAAAGGGTAACAGATTGTAAATATGTTATACAATGTAGCATGGCTGAAAGAATTGGAATTTGGCTGACTATAAGTGCAGTGTTGTCGTAGAACTGAGTAAGATACTTCTTGTGGCCATGTTTAAGAACTTTTAATTAACATTCCTTCTCTACTTTACAAGGTTTTTGTGCCTTGTGTCACAGGATTTTCTGTCCAAAATGTAATGTAAGTGTTAGCAATTGTGGTTGAAATATTCCACAAACGTACAACAACAGCCATACCAGAATTTAGACTTGGAGACTACGCATATTTTTTGTAAAAAAAGCTACAGCTACTGTAGTGTTGTAAGAGTTGTTTAGAGTTAGAATGGCACATAGGACTTAAAAAATATGGCACAAAGTTGTATGTTTCATTGATGTATCACAAGTGTATCACTTTTGGTACCCCCCTCTGTAAAATGGCATAATCCAGAATTAGATTCATGAATTTTGGAAGTACACGAATATGGAACAGCCCATTTTCATTCCAAGGTGGGCCAGCAATTTCAATAATGTTGATACAGTACTAGTATTGCCTTTTGGTCAAGAAAGGTGTATTGTTTTAGCTGGACCGTTCCAATGCATTTGGGCTAGTACACACATGTGGTAGTTGGCAATAGTATACGTGTACGTCTAGTATATAAAGTCAGTCTTTGTTGCTGAATTGTTGAATTCTAATTTTACTGCAGATAGCAGCAAAGACCATAACAACTTTTAACAGAATCATACATCTGAATATTTGTCACCAACACTTGTCACTAAAGAAATATGATGGGGCCAAAGAAATGCCCCCTGCCCCAAGTGAATTAAACTGCATTGAGATGAATATCATAGATCCTCAGGATGCCCTCATTCAGTGTGTAAGTTGTGAAATTCAATGTACAGTGCATTCAATTTGTATGTTTTGGGGTTGTATGTATATCCAGATTGCTAGGTAAAAGCCATAGCTGTAATTATTGTGAACAGAACTTGGTGTTATTTTATTGGTGATAGGTGTGAATAATAATATTGGTGGTGGAGAAGGTATTATTGACGATCACGTTCGATGTAAGTAATTTTGTATGTGATCACAGATGATCTAGTTTTTATACGAGGTATTATGAACAGTGTGGTTCACGGTTTGCCACTGTTTTATGAGTTCATTTTTCCCACAGCATTCTTTGTTGTAATTCTATTTTTACATGTGCTATGTGTAAATAAAACTCATCTGTTCAATCCCAAAGGTTGGTGGAGGTTGATCATTTGTCTACATTTCATTTCATTCCACATTGGATTTGACTTATACTTTATTAGGATCCACAATATTTAGCTTGACATCTCAGCTATTCTTCCTGTGGTCCTCAGGATTCTTCTGGTGGATTTAGGCTAGCCTCCATAGCATGCCAAAAACTGCGGGTCTTCAGGATCTTTTATGTGCTATTTCCTGATTGCATATAGACAACATAGCCGGCCTGGTTAAATTAATCCCATTTTAGAAAACAGCCAAAGACCACCAAACCCCCAGTTCTATAAGCCTGCTACGGAGGCTAGATTTAGGCAAAGTTGACCAAAGCCTGAAGAATTAGATACTGTAAATGCATTTTACATTCGCTATGGTTTTATTTTCACTGATTGTATGTGTTTTGCTAATACATGCATACAAGCTACAAATGTACATGTACAGTACATCAGCAACATTCACACCTGCTCTTAGCCTCCTTCTCAGTCTTGTTGGGCGTCGGCGTTATTTTTTTCTATGAGCAACGCGAGTAATATGCCGCCGTGAGGGACGATTTGCTGCCGAGGGAAGAAGAAAGAAAAAATAAGAAAAAAATAACGCAGACGCCCAACAAGACTGCGAAGGAGGCTAACCTGCTCTCCTCTTGGTAGTTAGCTGCAGAAAGTGATGAATCAGATTTGTTTTTATTAAAACCTAATGTGCAGTACCACATGTGCACAATAGGGGGCGCTTTTGCATAACTGTCAGTGTTATAGCTCAGAGAAAACCTGCAAGTTACCTTGCTGCAGATACACTGGAGCTGTGCAGATATTTCTGATATCTACCTGCAATGGCCCATGTACTGGGTTTATAGATACATGTACATGTACATAACGTTACACATATAAGTGTATGTGGGTTTTTATTTGCTGCATTGACTGTCACCACCTATGATGCATGGAGGAAATCATGGCAATGGGTTCTGAACAGTACTTAGTATGACCCATGAAGTCTGATTAGTGCAGGTAAAATTTGTCTGGTGCATGGTAATTTTTCAATGCACCAGTATAGCCTCTACCAGGCTTCAGGCCTGAAGCGGCAAACTGTTCTCTCTTTGGCCAAACTCCCTTGGCATGCTATCTCTTTATTTGGCCAATTTCTACTCTTTTCAGCTGCATCCCGAAGCCTGGTAGAGGCTAGCACCATACAGGTATGTAGAAAAAGGATTTCAAGCCCTGAAAACTAACGTATTCCTTCATTTTGGCAGTTTCAACAGTACACAATACAAATTCACCAATGTCCATTCCACCATCATTTCTTTATTGTCGAGCATCCACAACACAAACCCTACATCTACATGGTACATGTAGCACGTATCCACATCATGTTGTAACACTGCTTTGCCTACAGAACAAAAAAAATCAGTACATACAAATCCTAAAAGTACAATATTTCTCTCATGATGTACATTGTACAGATACATTGTTACAATTGCCTCTGGTTTTATTTAGCCTTCAACATACTGACATAGCCATTTGGCTACTAGTTCTCTATTGATTAGTAGGTTAGGTAGCAGGGAGAAGGTTAACTTGCCTGCCTTTGTTTCAAATTTCAATCTGCTGAAAATCTCAAAGCGATACTTCAAAATTCAAGAATTGCTTTGCATTTGCAGTGCTCCTTTCTCCTCACAATTACATAATATTATATATATATCTCTTTGTACTTCCATAGACCACATAATTATTATATTCCACCATTTGAAATATACCTATATGTACCAAAAATTAATTGGTACCTCATACTATTACACAAATACACACAATTGGACACACCATTTTAAATTTTGTTTTTCTGCATTGGTTTTCCTCAATAGTAAAGGCCAAATTATTCAACCAACACAGGTGACATCAAGGAGCTTAAAACCAATTTTTAACCCCCTTGGTGAAACAAAGTCCCTGGAATGCACAATTAAGCATTAAGCGTAGGGAAAAAATGTTGCATTTCCGATTTCAGTCCTGAAAAACTAGGGCTCATATATGAATTCTCTCATTTGTTGGGAATAAGAAACATGAGATTTTTTTTTCCTAGACCTAAGTCCTACTTTCTCTACAGTGGATAACAGAATGCATAAAGGATATAACAGAAAAAAATAGCAGGATGCATAAAATTAATCTATATACCCTGTGCAGACTCAAGCACCGTGGTATGGACCATGGCTTGGCATATGCTAGAATACCCTCATGGTCTTCCACTGGCCTTAAAAGTCCATATTAATGTTTGTAATACTTGTTCTGTTGCCTTGCTATGGTGCAATAGTCACATCCATAAAAACACTTGTCACCTACCACAAGACAGAGGCTATCCTAATTATAAAACCCAGCCTGGGTACCATCCTCCAGGCCACCACAGACATTAGGAGCCGGTAGAAACTACGGAGGATGGCATCCAGGTAGAGGCCACACCAATTTGATTTCTTGGTTAACAGATTCGCCCGCTTCATTTTTTTCTGATTTGAAAAAAAAAAAAATTCAGAATCTACTGCAAAATGCTCATATTTTGCCTGAACAGTTGAAATCAGTCCATTTCTTCCTAGTTGTTACAGTTATTCAGTCTTTCAATGCAGTGGTATCATTAAAAGTTAAAGTTAAAAGTCATTGTTTAAATTTTGAACCAGCCTGGTGTGTTGACTTCATGGCTCCTATCATACCATTTTGGGCCATAATATTAATAGGATGCCTAGGCCTGTTTTTTTTTTCACCCGCCCGCTCCATTATTTTTCTAAAAAAATCCGTTAACCAAGAAATTAAATTGGTGCGGCCTAAATAAAACCTATTTCCAGAGGTTACAGTGTCTGTTATAAATGTTAATAATACAACAAGGCCTGAGTGCCATCCTCTGTAGTTTCTGCCAGCTTACTGGCCACTACAGTGTATGACATTAGGAGATGGCAGAAACTACGGAGGATGGTACCCAGGCTACATTAAAGCCTATTTCCATAGGTTACAGTGTTATAAGTTTTCAGTTGCTAGTATTCCACAGTCCAAAAGAAACAAAAATCACAATACTGTACAGAACTGTGCTGAATCATAAACCAGTAATGAAGGAAGAGAGAGGTAGTATTCAGAGGAATTTCTTTCACTATGTACAAAATTACAATCGAATGATTCCTTCCAAGCCTCCAGGAGCAGCACAGCCATCCCAGGATGCAATGGGGAATATCCCAGGGGGCCGCGGGGCTACTTCAGCTCAACAGCCATCCCACAATGCCGAGCAGCAGTGTTGAGAAGAGGACGCCGGTTTCACGCCAGGTTGTTGCAGAGGAGGAGACCTCCCCAGCCTGAGGAGGAGTACCAACTACAGGGACAAAAAAAAAACACTGGACAGGTTAGAAACCACGCAATCTGATACATTTACCACCAAAGCACGTCAGGTGGGATCGTGTGGCGCAACGGCAGCGTGCGCTACTCAGAATCAAGAGGTCCCAGGTTCGAGTCCTGACATGCCACCGATCTTGTGCCCTTGGGAAAGGCACTTTACAAGACTTTCCCCACTTAACTCAAGTGAAAATGAGTATTGTCTGTCCAGTATTCGTTTCTATGTGCAGGACACAACACCAGCAACAGCTGCCTCTGTTCTGCACTGTTCCAATTTCAATAAATCAAATCAAAGCACTGCAGAGGTCAAAAATAGTTGCAGACTTACCGTAGCTCTTGCAGTTCTCCCCTGGTGAGTATTTCCCCAGTTCACTGGCCTGGCTCCCATTCACTAACCCAGTAACCTTACCTGGCGCAATGTCACCTGCACATAACAGAAAACAACACAGGAACGTTCAGCGGAAGTAAAACATCCCAAACTGTTACAATAATTTATTGCAAAATTAAATTGTACCTCATTTTCCAGCAAGATTGCTGTGCACATTGCCATCGGTTTGAGATTTAACAATCAAACCAAAAATTGACGCAGGTTTTGATTCAAAAGCTGACTGAAATGTCGTTGAAGAGGTTCATCAGTCATGTAATATAAGTAGAATATTTCTCAATCAGTGACTGTTTTTGAAAGGTAGAAACACGCACCTCCAAATTTTCGATGTCCACTGTACATCTTGATCACGAGTGACCTACTGTAGTCTCGCGAGAATATGAGACTAGGTCGAGACTTGTACGGATCAAGATGTACAGTGGACATCGAAAATTTGGAGGTGCATGTTTCTACCTTTCAAAAACAGTCAATGATTGAGGAATATTCTACTGACTGACTGACTGATATGACATTGAAGATGTCAGTGTAGGACCAATCCTTTTACTCTAAGGTGTGACAACACACAATACCATGTGAATGTCATTTTAGAGATTACAGAAGCTCCGTATTGAAGTTATTCGTGTATGATAAAAATTTCCTTACCAAGAACGTAGAAGGTGACCTCCTGGCACTCCTGTATGGCATTGGACTCAGACCTGTAATAGATGGCGACTTTCCACACTTCGATCTCCAACAGGCTGGCTACCGTGGAGCGGAAGTCAGTCCTTTGTGAGAAAGAAATAAGTTTGCAGTTTGCAAATGAATGTGGATATTGGTACAATGTGAATGAAATATGAATTTGGATTGTTGTTTTAATGCAAAGGCTTACAAGTACTAATTTTTCCATGTTTTTATGACAGTCACAACAAACAGTAACTAGAAAGGTAACATTTGCAAAGCAAATGCATAACGTTTACCTTCGAAAAAAAAAATTATGGAATGCTCTGTTAATTCTTACTCAAACACATTCATATATGGTCAAACAGGAGTCTACATCCCTCCTGCTAAAAATTGCAACATGATGTAACCCAACACTAGTTACCATGGTGACAGATGTCTGGTTCAGGTCATTGACCTTATTGGCTTGGAGAAGAAGAAGAGGAAACAGAGCGAAAACAATGTCTTCCTTCAGTTGACATAATAATTACGATATGTTTTGACTTACGAGTCGAAGTTATCGATGGGTGGGAACGCAATGGTGGCTGTCTGTGTCATAGGTTCGATGGTGCCACACCCCAGCCTGCCACCCCCGCCATTCGCCTCGTGCATCACAATGGAACGACCCACAACTGCACAGAGAGGAGGCATGAATAAACTTAAGTACATGAAGTGTCAGATCAGTTCGTGATTATGACATTAGAAGAAATAATCTTGGCACTAGGTGTCGACACTGTGAGGGATAATAAGGTAAAAATGTTATGCCAAATGTCATTTCATACAGGAAATACAATGTATTGTTGAAGGGACAACAATTGTAAATGAATGATTTTAGAAACGGTCAGGTAGCATCCACTACCTTTTGTCAGTGACACTGACAGAGAAGTTGTCAGAGAAGTAGGTTTATAGAATATGAAAGTTTATTGCAAATACTTGCCCGAGGGCTAATTGCAGTTACAGACAACATAGGAAAGAAAAATACAGTGGTATGTGAGACTATATCTACGTCTAGCATTATACTATATTCTACATACTAGTAACATACATGGTACTAGTTTTACTGGGTTTGACTTCTTTTTAGGCAATGGAAGACGAATTTACCCACTCCTTTTATAATATGTGGGTTCTTTGATTTTAGTAGTAAAATTGTTTTTTTGTTTATAAATAGGAACCAGAATATATAGAATGGCCTCACCTGTGAGCTCGCCAAAGAGAGGAAGATCCACGTCGGTGTAAACTCGGAGCCCCCCTCCCACCGAGTACTTCCCCTGTTTCCCGCTCAGATCTCCCAGCTCGCACCGCAGGGGGTTCCCTGGCTTGCACTGGGTGGCGTAGTTTCCCTGCAGTTCACAAGTAAACAGTTAGGGGGAGCCTGAAAACGTATTTCATCAGCTGCACTTGAAGCCAAATTCTTAAAGCAGTTAAGTTTCATCATCATCATCTTCGCCACTGTAGTCATCTATCGACGATGCGGGCCTCCACCGCTCTCCACTGTCTTAAGTTTACCCTAGGAAGTTGCCCCCAGGAAGTTGTGTTACAGCTTCCCATCCATGAATTTTTCTGTTAACATCCAAGCAGATACAATGACAGTAATCTTTTTCAGGGTTCTTTTACAAAACTCTCGGTCAACTTTCTTCTGGCTCCTGGCCAGCTTCTGGGACCTAACTTCCTGTGCCAGACCTTTTGTGCTCTGTGGGTAGTCCACTGTATTGCCATGGAGCAATTCCAATAAAAATAAAAATTTTAGCCTCTGCACACATGAAGAAGCCACACAGGCGAAACCGGCCGTGTGACAGGCCGAATAAAAGTTCTAAACGCGAACTATGCAGCTCCAGATGTCTTACTGAGGGATGACTGTGTGTGCGAGATGTCGGTTAGCTTGAGGAATGAATCCCTTCTACTATACAATCCAATAAAAATTAGTAAGAACTAGAAATTTAAAGTAACATTTGCAAAGTAAATGCATAGTGTTTACCATCGCATATGGTCTGCTCTGTTAATTCTTACTCAAACACATCCATATATATGGTGATAGGAGACTAAATCCCTCCTGCTATACAATTGCAACATGATGTAACCCAACACCAGTAACCATGGTGAGCGACAGTCTGGTTCAGTCAGGTTAGAGGTCACTGTTGGGAGAAGAAGAAGAAGAGGAAACGTAGCAAAAACAATATGTTTTCTCTCGGTAAGCATAATACAAAACAAGCAATAAAAAAGTCTTACCCCCAGGTCTGCATTGTAAGGGTTGAAGTGTCCCCTGCAGCTGGAGCAGGGAGAAGTGAGGGTGTTGCCGTCACCGTTCACAGGCTGCTCATGGATGTGCCAGCTGTGGTCAGACGTCTGCAGGGCACACAAGACACAGGGAGTGAACAGAGAGAAATACACTGTTTCTTTGTTTGTTTGTTACTCCGTGAAGGAGGTCAGGACCTCCGGACGGAGTGTTGTGAAGAGCTGTTTTTTTGTGTTCGCAGTCAAAACACTGGGTTCTCTTTGTGTAATCGGCACGCAATTTTATACGCCGTCTGCGGGCATGCCCGTGTTGGTGCACGAATGTGTATTTTTGCCGTTGCTGTTTTCGCGGTCAATGTGATATTGCAGATGCACCCCTACAATTATGAGGCAAATTGGAATGGTCCAGAAAAACCCGTTGTTTGGAATAGCGGTGGGGGGTGGAACTTCATGCAGACGTGCGGAGGGGTCGATAAGTGGTACCATAGATGTTCGCAGCCAAAACGCATTGTTCCGTACGTAGCATTTCTGCGTAATTTGGCATGTGGTGTGCCATTATGCCCGTGGTGATGCACGTCTTTTTATTTTTACCCTAGCAGTTTTGATATTGGAGTAATTGCTTATTTTTTAAACATCCCTATAATGTCGTTGAGATATTTTTGCCCGGGTATCTGACAGGCGGTAGTAACACTCGCGGTGCTGGCCGCAACTGTTGCTGGAATTTGGCATAGCCAGTCGCGCTTAATAAGTAACAGGCACAGTAAGATAGCCTGGGTGCCAGACGCTGGCGTTCATAAAGCGATAGATTTTTTTGTGGAAAGGCCCTAATGTACGCTACTGTATCCGCCGCCCAACCCCAGGCTGCCCCAAACCCAATAACGTGGTCCCCCACAAAGAATTTTTCTAACTACAACCAGTAACTCTGGTCTTCTTCAACAGACAGTCTACTCAAGATACTATCTATTGAAAGCTCTAGGTCACTAGGTGAGGAAAATTCTTTGTGTTGGAAACAAAAGTTTTAAGTTGGACTGTCCCCCAGGCTGTGTTACATATATATAGCTTGTCTCCAATACAACACAGAAAAATCTGTGTCATCCGTTCTGCTTGGGACTCCCTTTGTTTATTTACTGCACCCAAAAATACCTAAACTCTTAACAGAGAAACATACGGTTACATTTTTTCTTTGTTGGTTTGTTTAAAGTTGAAACTTTTGTTCTAAAACTGTTCTAAAATTATAACACCAAGTCAAAACTTGGTCCCCACAAAGAATAGTTCTCACCTAGATCTTTCGACCTGTAACTTCGGTCTTCTTTGACTTTGACTTTTTAGACATGTCTATTGAAGATAGTCTATTGAAAGATCTGGGTGAGAACAAAAGTTTTAACTTGAAGTCTTGAATTTTGAATACATCGTGGGAAAAATTTGCTGTAATTTAACATCTGAGCTGAAACTTATAATCAACTTGGTACCAAAATCCTCACTCAATTGCAAACACCTGAGATGGTCTCTCTTCTATTGTTGCTATCTTTTCTTGCAGATTTGGTAACGTGGGTTAAGGAATATTTCTGGGATCACTAGTGTAATCCTAAGAAAATCATCTGATAACCTTAAATGACCCATTCTCTTCAGTACCCGCCAAACCAGTATCATCATTGCGACCTTCAAACTATCTCACAGTGACAGGAGAGTGCTTATTAAGTTCTTTGCAAGCAGTGTCTTCAATTCAAATTCTGCATACCATCACGCACGCTGGTAATGTGGTAAACAAAGTTGCAGGTGGTTGGACGACATTTGGTGCCAGGGGCATTTTCTTTGTGTGCTGTACACTGTACATGTAATTTGCTTTGACCACACTGTTAAAGTTTAATAATCCAGGCAAAGCAACAAAGGTCACTAAGAAAAGTCAAGGGCACACTGTTCAAAGATCGCTATTTCAAGTTGTAGGTGAACCTACATATAACGTTACAGTTAAATTTCTTGTGTTAGGGGCTGTGATTTTCTTTGTGTGTATCACAAGTAATTTGCTTTGACCACATTGTCAAACTATACTCAGTCTGGCAAAGCAACAGAGGTTGCTTAAGGTCACTAAGTGAAGGTCATTTTCTGAATGTCGAGGGCACAACGTTTGAAGATCAACATTTCAAGCTGTAGGTGAACCTTCATGTACAGTTAAATTTCTTGTGTTTAATATTAAAGGTGCCAATGTCATGAAAAAGACTTCTAGACATTAATTTGTTTTTTACGGAAATGTTTTGACTCAACAATAACAATGATAATTTTGTGAATTTCCATCAAGTTTCGTTTGGTCTTCCAACCCTGGGGAGAGAGGATACTTGTAAATATGTACTTCTTTTTCACTTCAAAGTCAGTTTTTTTGTTTGTTTTTTTGCATTCTGGTCGAGGACTCTTAACTTACATTTGTAGTCAAGAATGAGGAACTAAGAGCATGCAAAAAACAACATAAGCAACTTCCTGCTGCAGGCAAGCACGACAGACAGGTAAAGGTGAACTGTTGTCATGGAATCGTCATGGAAACATGCAGCAGGCGTGACTTGTTGTTGTAAGACTCAAGAGTCAAGGACTCTCAGCTTCAGCTAACCAACAATGGGACTTAGAGTTAGAATAGCAGTGTACAAAATACTTTTTTGAACCAGGTTGCCCATCAGAATTTTAGGTTGCCCCACCTATAAAAGTTACTACTTTCCTCAAATTAAGTAATCTTACATACATAATCCTTTGACAATATTTCTAACAGCCTTTAGTTAACTGATACTAGTAATAGCCATTAATACCTAAAATTAAAAAGCATCTGCCAGATACAGTGGTGCAAGCCAAGTGGGCATAATTTTGGGGGGAGGGGGGCATTCTTAAAATCCAGGTAGCAAACTGGGCTACCTAGGTTCAAAAATAAGTTGCCCGAAGTAAAATTTGGTTGCCCAGGGCAACCGGGCAACCAGGTATTTTGCACGCTGAATAGCGTTAGTCGGTCGTAAAATATGCTCCAACGTGGACTGAGTTGGAATTCTACTTTCATCTTTTGCTTTGTGCTATTTCACTGATGCCAGAAGGCGCCGGGCTGTACAAAACTTCTTTAGCATGACGTTCAAGTGTAAAAGCTGCATGAGTTGTGCAATTACGGCTTCTGGTGTTGGAAACAATGATCATAGCTAGAGGCAAAAGTGGGAGGCTTAGATCAAAGGGGAGCTTGTTCTGAGTTCAGTGAACTGCACATCAAACCTTTGTGTTGTTGGAAATATGTACTCTCCAAGTAAAGGTTGGGGTTTTGGCTTATGTTTTGGCTTGTTTTTAGGCTTTTTTATCAGGCTTTCTTTTTTGCTTATTTGTTGGCCCAAAAAATACGAGTGCAAAAAACAAAGCCTGATAAAAAAATCCTAAAAACATGCCAAAAATAAGCCAAAACCCAAACCTCTGCTTGGAGAGTAGGAAAGATGTCTGCCCTTCAGCTGCCATATAATTATTATTCTACACCTGTCCCATGCATTTCTCAGTTTATCAGGGGATGTGGATTTAGAAAAGACTCCCCACCAGGCACAAATTGAATTAACATTTAGAGCGCTTGTGGGTGAAAATCAAGTTATTTTTCTCTTTGAAGTCAGAAAAACACGGAGATTAAGAAATAGGTGGTGGCAGGAAATTTCCAGGTGACTCCGCAACTTTTTGGAATTCTAGTCAGAATTCCGACAGAAATTGTGGCACCCAACCCAAAAATGGATGAACTCTACGTCAATGGGATGAAAATTTTTGTAATTCCAGCACGTACTTCCTGCCTCTAAACTATTCAGTAAAAACATCACTGATTAAAAATGATTTACAGTGGATTCAACTACCATTATTCAGGTTTAGGCCACACAAATGTGGTTTGAAAGATGACACACCTGGTTAAGTATTCTATGTGTTTTGCAAGTGATGTCACCTGTGTGGCATTTTCCCCCTTCTCCACCCCAGACTGGTCTTGAAAGATCCTCCCAAAAATATTTTCATTGGGTTGGTAGAACATGGGATATTGAGCTTTTCTATTTACACAGCCAGGTAAGTTTACGTTTCAGACACCTTCCTCACACCCTCTGACCATAGCTGCCTCTCACTGCTATACAAAGTCATGAACATTGTACATCTATGTAGCCAAGAAGCAGTACTCCATTCAGAAGCTCTAAGTCAGAGGAAGATGTCTGACAGGCATCAAAACATAGGCAAGGTGAGTCAGACTTTACCAGTTGTGTAAAAAGAAAAGCTCAATATTCTATGACTGATGATGTCGTAGAACTTCTGAACTTGCATCATTTAGCCTCTGTACACCTGAAGAAGCCACACAGGCGAAACCGGTCGTGTCACAGGCTGAATAAAAGTTCTAAACAGGAACTACACGGCTCCAGATGTCTTCCTGAGGGACGACTGCGTGTGTGAGATGTCGGTTAGCTTGAGGAATGAATCCCGTCTACTACTATATACTGATGATGTCTTACCTTTTTGCTTTTGCTGGTATCCTTGGCGTACCTGATGTCCACCTGCAGTGTCGTGTCACCCCCGCTGCCGTCTGCATAAATCACCTGAGTCTGCAACAGGCAGAAAAAACTCTCCAGTCAAACTTAATACATTAGACATACTCACCTCACCTATCCCTTAACCTTAACCTCGTTGAAAGTCATTGGGGCACCATGACTTGATCCACTATCCTCCTCCATTTAACTCTGTCCTCTGCCGCTCTCATGGCTTCACCTACATAAGCTCAACCTCGTACTCTCTTTTATGTTGTCTTCCCACCTCTTTCTGTGTCTACGCCTTTTTCAACTTATTGGCACTATCCCTAGTAGTACAGTATTTACATGCCCTAACAACCTTGCTACATACAAACCATATCTCAGCTTGCGTCTCATTACAGTGGTAGGTTATAACGTGGTCCAGTAGCTTCTACACTTCCTTGTCGATGATATGATCAAGGTATGTGATGCCCAGGATTAGAATACATGTAGACTGGGGTGTAGCCTGAGTACCCTCCTGTTTGTATACCTGGCCTCCCATACTCGAGTATACAAATAGGATGGCACCAAGGCTACCTCTGAAGTACTCACCAAAATGATTTTGCCTTCGATGGAGTTTTCACCCGCTGGACTTGTGGCTTCGAACTTGGCCATGGCGGACACCGTGGACGCATCCGGGGGCAGCACTCGGGTCAAGTTCGCGCAGTGCCACCTGCCGCCGCTGTTGTCGTGGATCACGATCGACCTCCCGATGGAACTGTACGTCCCGAACAGGGGCAGGTTGCCGTCCAGGTTCGTCTCGGAGAAGCCGGTCTGTCCCTGCATGGACCCGTACTTCCCACTCAGGTCCCCGATCTGGAAGACAGAAGAAAAATGTCCAGATTACGCATGATGTACAAAATCACTAATAAACTGGTGGATGTCCCAACTACTAAGTACCTAATGCCAGCCCAGAAGAGAACAAGAAACAGCCATGTCTTCAAGTACCAGAGTTATCAACCAAGGATTGAGGTGTTCAAGAATTCATTCTTTCCTAGAACTATTGCAGAGTGGAACTTGCTGTCACCAAGTACAGCAGGTGCATTGTTATTGGATAGCTTTAAACAATGTCTAGAGTTCAAGGGTTAGGTGTAACAAGTCGATCGGTGTAATGTAGCCAGCCTGCAAAGCTGGTGTGTTACGCCGAAGGTTATACCGGCTATACAGATACAGATACAGACCTCATACTGGTCGCTCGTTCCTCTCCCGCTGGCGGGGCTGTCGCCGATGACGACGTTGAAGGGGTTGTAGTGTCCGGCGACGGAGGTGGCGCTGCACGGGTCGTCCTTGCCGGACGGCACAGGGAGCTTGTGCACATGATACGTGTCCGCGTTGTTGCTCAGGCCCGTCACGTTGATGACGGTGGTGGTGGCGTCGAACGGAGAGGCCTGGGTCACGCTGAAGGTCCCTGAGACGACGCTGCTGACGCCCCCCTGTGCGTGCCACCTCTGCGTCGAGACTTCCACGGCCGGCAGCTGGAAAATGTTCGCGCAAGCCAGCCTGCCGCCGCCGGAGTTCGCCTGGTGGATCACCATGGAGCGGCCGATCACGGCGTGCGGGCCGGACAGCGGGAGATCGACGTCGGTGAAAAAGTTCCTGCTGACGCCGTCCTCCGAGGTGACGTCGATCTTCCCGTGCTTGCCGGACAAATCTCCGAGCTCGCAGCGTAAGGGGTTGGTGCCGCGGCACTGCGAGGCGTAGTTCCCTGATAGGTCGACGGCGTACGGGTTGAAGTGCCCCGCCGTGCTGGAGCAGCGGTTCTCCACCGCGGCGTAGTCGGAGCCCATGGAGTCCTCGTGCACGTGCCAGCTGTGGTCGGACGTCCCGGCCGTCCCGTCGATGTACGCGACCGAGAGGAACACGGACGTGTCCATGTATGGCTTGTCCCTCACCTGCCGCAGGACCATGTGGCCGGCCACGGGCGTCTTGAACACCGCCATCGCCGTGACGACGTCACCGGGGTAACCGATGTTCGCGCACACCCACCGGCCGCCGCTCGTGTCGTGGATGATGACGGAGCGGCCGACGATGCTGTAGCGCCCGTACAGAGGGAGGTACCAGTCTGTCTCGGTTTTAGACATGCTGGACATCGCGCTGAGGTTGCCGAACTTTCCACTCAGGTCGCCGAGTTCGTACTGGTCACCCGTGCCCTCGGCGGGACGGGGGTAGCTGGCGGAACTGGGATCCTTGCCGAAAGGATTGAGGTGGCCTCCCGTGTACATCACGCTGCACATGCTCACCTCAGCTGCCTTGACCGGTATGGGGTACTCGTGGACGTGGTAGTTGATCGCGTTGGCTCTGATGTTGTTGACGTTTATGGTAACAGTGGTGGGACCGTACGGAGAGTCCTGGGAAAAGTCCACTGTCCCCTTAACCCCGCTCATATCGAACCTTGCAGACACCGAAACTGCTTCCAGCTGGTAAATCTCTGCACTTGCCAGGACAGCGTCAGAAGAGTCCTTCAAGACGAGACATTTTCCGACGATGCTGCCTCCGTCGGACAGAGCCAGGCCGTTCTTCGTGTCGAACTTCCTCCCGCTCGCTGAAGTTGCTCCTACCGTGGTTTGCCCCAGGCTTGTGACAACGCTGCCTGTTGAAGCACACCGGTCTCCACTGCTGCCCGGAGCCTTGCTACGCACCTCCCAGTTGTTACTGGTGTCCGCGGCGGAACCCGTATCCTGGCTATAGAAGAGGTTGGATATGACGACTGTCTGGGAAGACGGGTCGTCCGACTGCTGACGGAACATGACGACACCGCTGACTTTGCCACCGAACTTGGCAATGGCAGTCGACATGCTGATGGACTCCGGCAGGATGGTGGCACAGCGAACGTTGGTTGAGTCACTGGTGTCAGTCAGGAGTACGGATCTGAATTTGGAAACAAAACAAAACTCATTGCACTGTGTATTTCATACTTATTTGATTCTAATTCATCCGTTCATTTTCTTGTTTGAGTTTTGAGTTTTATTCAGACTTTCTTATATTATGTATTACAGTATTATAGTACTGTACTTTGTAACCAGGTAATATGTTACCTTTATTTCAGGTCTTGTATTTATAGTAGAGTTCTTATTTGATGCTTGTCTCCACGTTTGTATATGTGGGTTATCTAATACCACTGCCTTGATAACCTGTGTCTTGGCCTGTTGTCATTGCCAATAAAGAAAGAAGTTTACCCACCTGTGAGACAAGGTTTTCCCAGTGAGGTCCGGTGTAACAGTAGAAGTAGGGTTGATGTTTCCGCTGAAGTCGTGGTAACTCGCTCCCAGGTTGGAACAAGGTTCTGCCGTGTCGTACGCAACCGGAAACGTCCGGATCTGGAGGCCCCAGGAGCCAGCGAGTCCGGTCAGCGCGATGTCGACTCTGGTCGAGGCAGCCGGCTCCTGAAAAGTCACGGTCCCTCGCGTTCCGCCCATGTCAAAGGTCGCCTTGTAGGTCAGGGCATGACCCCCTCCACACACCGTCAGTCCTGTGAGGGGAGAGAGAACAAAAGTATGAGAATCATTGAAATCCCAAAGAGTCTACAAAAAGCCCCACTCGGAGCCCCACTCTTACACACTCGGAGTCCTCCGGTGCGTCTGTTGTTCCCCATCTTCCGAGGGTCAGACACGGACCACTCACATCAAAGAGCCCACCACACCTTTCATTTTCAAACAAAGAGTAAGGGCATGCCCCGGTGTGCGATGATCAAATTCTACAGTCCGGAGTTGATGATTCACTACAAATCACCTGGACGGAGGCCTAACAAACCTTCGTTTTGTATAAGACTTTAGGTGTGCCCTTGATAATCACCCAGGGTGCTAGTTGGGCAGCCTTGGCTGCATCTTCGGCCTAATGAACAGATAAATACAACTTGCTCTTTTGTGAAACATTAACACCACAAGCGCAAAGATAATACGTGCTGTTATCCTCTCAACCAACAAAATAAATGCTGGTAGAAACATAAAATCAGTCTTTGCTGGTCGAGTTAAAAATTAAAAGTCAAACAAAAGTGACATTTTTCCTGATGTTTGGAAAAGTAGAAATAAAGTTGACAACAATTCCATTTGATGGTGAAAAAAAATACCGAATTGCTTTTAGCTTAATATAATTGTAAGTGGCCGCCTGACTAACCAGGCCACCCTAATGGGAGAAATGAGGCCGCATACAGCGAGAGCCTTCGAGGCGAGGATTTAACTTCCATTGTTCAGAAAGTCACTGCCTGAGGAGCCTTGGCAATTGAATGTTGGTACAATAGGACCTAATCCTCACAAAACCTCAACCAGTAACTACTATTAGTACCAAGCCAATTTGAACCAGTGGCATGTGTATCGTCATGTGTGCGGAGCTTTCTTATCTTGACAACTTTCCTTTCAACATTGAAAAAATGACACGCCCAACACCGTTGAGTCTTGGCACACCAAATATCCTGTATTGATTGTCACTTCACTGTATCACATGTACACTGAGCTTGAACAGACTTTTCGTTTTCAGACTTTTTTTTTTTACGGAATAGTTCAATGCAAGGCCTATGCGACCACTTCTCAGCATTGAACTAGAAAGATGAGAGAAACATGGCTATGTCAAGAGATGGCGGTGAACGTTTGATTTAAAAGCCTGTAGACTTGTCTCTGAAGTTCAAATACATGGTGACAGGTTGTTAGTTTTGCCGACCTCTAATGCACACCTAAATTGGGATCAAGTTTTCTTTCATCTGGGCTGGGCCGGGCCGGGTTTCATCTGGGCTGGGTTTGTTGGGGAGTTGTTTGCAGCATGTTTCTGAAGGAACAAAGCCTGGATGCCAGTTTCCTGATATACATGAGTTCCTCAACTCCAGGAGCCAACATGCCCCCAAGGAAATTCATGATTACACCACATCCTACACCTCCACAGTTAGGCCCAGCCTGTTATGGGTGACTGGCATCCAGGCATCTAGATGCCTGGATGCCAGTACTAGATTGGGCAGTACATTCACTTCCTTGTACTTGCACTTCAAGTTGCAGTAAAAGTCAATTTACCATGAAGAAAAGATGCCTGATCTGTATACACCAGTTTTATGCTGAACAACATTTTCTGGCCTGGCTCAAGAACTTAGTAGAAGTGGTTTAAAACCAGCAGCTTGAATTGAACCAGTTTAAGTATTACCGTAAATTAGATAATGGATAGAAGACTTCCCAGAAGCTGGAAACTTGTCTAACCAGTCTCGGACGTCACACAATGAAATCTGTATCATGCTCATTTAGTTGTGCATCATCAGTCTAGATCTTTATTAAAACAGAATTCCTGCTTAATCTTACCCCAGTGCACATAACAAACTTCGGGAGGGGCACAGACGCTTGTTCTGTGAATCATCTCCTATAGTGGCAGTATAGGAGATGATTTTCCTGCTTACCTGCATTGGTGCAGGCTACATTAGAGAAAATTACCTGCTGCACCAGACAGATTTTACAAACAGGCAACCAGCCAGCCAAAAGCTGGTAGGATTGTCGATGTCCAGTTTAGAACGCTCCACATTACCGGCTCCATTCAGAATTTAAAAACTGTTCAAAAACTAAATATTACAAGTTGTATTACACTTCATACATTGTAGGTGGTAACAGACAATACACCAAATAAAAATCCAAATACACCTACACCTACATGGCCCAGTGCAGGTTAGGTGCAGGTAGACATCAGAAATACCCTCACAGCACCAATTTTACCTCCACCATGAATTCATGACTTGCAAATTTGCATTTCTAATGCACCAGTCATCAAAATCATTTTAGCTGCACTTTCATAAATAGCAAATTGTGTGTTACTACTACAACACAGCTAGAAAAATCACTTTTTCCCACTCTGTATCTGCTTGGAGATAGGAGGTTGTGAATATCATCACGGCTGCATGACGCATGTTTTCCTTCCAACAATGAGGTGATAACACAAGCCAATCAAGTGTAATCAGACGTGATCGTGGTTGTTTTGTTTACTGACGTGGAAACAATCACCACACAATGCTGCAAAAAAAGCAACCGTTGGCAAAGGGGTTCATATGTGACTGTGAGAAACCTAATACACACCTGAGAGTGAATTTTAACACTTGATGCTAAACCTGTTGGCAAAAATGCAATGTTTTCTGATGTGGAAACAATCACCACACAATGCTGCAAAAAAAGCAACCGTTGGCAAAGGGGTTCATATGTGAGAAACCTAATACACACCTGAGAGTGAATTTTAACACTTGATGCTAAACCTGTTGGCAAAAATGCAATCAATGGAAATTTTGTTGTGCTAGAGAGAGAAGGAGACATGCTACCTGGCTAAGCTGGATAAACATGTATCCGTGAAACAGAAAAAAGGTGTTCTGAGTGACCTTCCTGATCATATTTGAGAAAAATAAAATGATTTTCAATCTCAAGAAATTAAAGAAGACAAAAGTTAATTTACATGCGTAAAGTCTCACCCAATCCAATCAAATATCAAGGAATTTGGCGACAGAAGAAAAGAGGAGAAACTTGAATAACAGAGAAAAATGATTAACTTGAGAAACAGAGAAAAATGACAGCAAAACAAACTAAACACAGTCCTAACAAAGACAGTGTTTGCTTGCTATGAGGTTCACTTTCAAGTTCATTGTTTACACGTAACCAAAACTATTGTTCCAGTGAAAGTCACATGTAACATTACACCTTTGAAAACCTGCCCCACATGTGGAGGAAGTTTTCCTTGACCAGATGGTTTCAGCCCATGCCCCCACCCACTTAACTAGACAAGCCATTTATCTCCTTATACAACATGGGACATGTCTGACCCACTTAATTCTCTTTGGGTAAACCTATACACCTTTGAGTTTGCTTTGCTTTGTTTGGAAGAAGCCTGCAAGCTAAATATGTGATTCACTTACCAATTTACTAGTCAGTCTAGCATATGATAATTTATTATGTAGATTTTTTTTGTCATTTGTCACCTGTAGCTTTGAAACGTGTGCTTTTTAACTAGAACGTCATCAGACAGATTTAACGAAAACGTTACGGCAATACTATACAAAAATGTCAGCTTGTCATGGAGCCGGCAAAGGATTTCTCCTTGTCAAATCTCTTATCTCTCAAAGCATATTGAAATGTGGTCGGACAGGATACCTGTCCCTGTGTTGACCAGGATACTGTATTTCGCTTTATGTTCGCGGTAACAAAAGTTTGCGGTCTCAGAAGAATGGACATGTTTGCGGAGTTACGTGTTTGCGGTGGTGGCAGGTGCCAAAAAAAAGGAAGTCAGGGAAATGATTTATTTGTTCACAGCAATGATAAGTTGTTCGCTTTACAGAAATGACTGCAAAAACTGCGAACATTAAATCTACCGTGAAGAAATTGTGAGTCCCTCATACCGTGGCGTAAATTACTGTATCATACGTAGCCAGTCCTCCTGAATTTAGCACAGAGCGTGGTTAGGACTCCCCCATGCAGACCCTCCATTATCTAAAGCAGATGCCAATGTGTCCGGCCAGACAGTGAACTTTGGCTGAACTTTGGGATGGGTGTTAGTGTTCAGATTCAGCAGGGATTCAGCAAAGATTCGGGGATCTAGATCCAGCTACCGAGAGAGAGTTAGGGTGCCGAAAGATCGTTCTTGTTGTTGAAAATGGGTCAAGCAAAATCCATTAGTCTTGTTACCGAAAATGCCGTCTTTTGATCCTTCGTCGATAGTTCGATCTTGCGGTCTGTACCACAGCTTGCTTGAAAATGAAAGCCCGGACAACGTACTGTCAAGGAGCATAATTTGTGACCGGGCCCTTATCACATAAGACGGTCAATAAAAAAAAAGCAAACACATAGCTTCTATGATAGGTAAACACCGTTAACGTTACTATATCTAGGTCAAAGTACGACCGATCATGCCGGTTTGCCCCACACCCCTCGTAAATCATAGTTTAGATAAAAGCCTCGGGGTCGAGGGTCCAGTGCAGTGCTAGGCGCCGCCGGTCCTCGGTAACCCCCCAACCTTCTAAGCTTCCTGGTCTTCCTACAATTCTACAGCGCTTTTTTACTCACCAACAAGTAGCCAGACCACGGCAGAAAAACAACACCGAGACATATTTGCGTCTAGGTTGGTGAATATTCAGCTCTGGGCGGCGGCGGTGGCGCGTGTGTTCGCGGTCTCAGCTCCCTCACAGCGAGTGACCGCCGTAACTCATGTAACTTTCTGACTTCTGTGTTTACTTAAGGAATGGTATCGTCTGGGTAGCAGCGTTTTTTCTTAACTCAAAAATTGTCCAGCAAAAAGGATATTTTCTACCATATGAACCCAGATAAAACTCTTATTATGGTTGTAATACATATGTAATCTCCTTTTAAACTTCCTCGGATTGGAAAAAAAGGTTTGGCATACACCTTTTCCTGCTCCACCCCTCCGCTTCCTGAATGGTCGAGTCTGATGTTCTATGAAGCCCCGACGACACGCCCCAAAGCCCCCAAGCCAAAGCAACTCTCCAACTCCAAGCAAAGGTTTGGGCTTCGGCCTACTAGTCTGGTTTTTGGCAGAAACTGACTGTCAGACAGAATCGCCTGGACTACGCACGCTATTGAATAAGTACGTACGCACTACGTGAGCTTTCTCTAGTAAATAGGAGTCAAGCAAGGAGTTGAAAAATATTTATCAATCTTGTTTCAAACCAGTTAATTTTTTGCTACTTTACAAGATAGTCGTAAGCCTTTTGCCAAACGGTCAAGGTCGTTTATTCTCTGCTACATATACAAGCTATCTTCCCTCTCTCAAATTTCAACAAAATCGTCCTCAGAATTTGATACAATCGCAGAATTGAAGTCGCTCCACTCAAATACCTAGCCTCCTGTGCAGGCTCCTGGGCAGGTAGAAATTTTGATACATCGTTTTGAAGAGTTTTTAACGCGTTATTTTAATAGCCGGTCATTCTACAACTAGTCGCCGAGAGAAGGTCCCATTCCGCCCACGGGCTGGTTGTAAGATGGCCGGCTATCAAAATAACGCGTTAAAAACTCTTCAAAACGCTGTATCAAAATTCCCACCCGCCCCGGAGCCTGCACAGGAGGCTATTGAATACCAGTAAGTCGTCAGGGCCTGGGCCTGGGCATGCCATCATGTTACTAAACCGGAAAAACGCCGGGGACCTACGCAAATCAGGACAGTTGACTAGTTACAATTACAATTTTTACGCCCGCGGCCAACATACTAGTAGTACAAAAGGTAGTAAAAACTAATTCCGTGTGCGCTTCTTGCGGTAAATTAAAAGATCATCAGGATGTCACGACACTTAACCACCCTACCAGGCACCGCGGATCACTGGAAAAATAGTAGAAATTGGCGGAAATAAAGGGATAATATACCAGGGGAGTAAGAAAGAGAGGGGATCCAATATCCGTGGGTTGCATATTGGTAGCCTCTACCAGACTTCGGGAAGCGGCTGGAAAGATCATGGGTAGAAATCGGCCAAATACAGAGATAACATGCCAGGGGAGTTGGTCCGGTAGAGAGAACTGTTTTTGCGGCAAACAGTTACTTTTAGCCTTTTTTAGGGAGATAGCAGTGCAAAAAAAAAGAAGAAAAAAAAAACATAAAACGTGCCAAAAATAAGCTTAAGCCCAAACCTCTGCTTGGAGAGTACGGTTCAAGAAGTCAATGCAGGCGCTGCCCCCGAAGATGATTACCCCTGAACCTCTCCTAAGGCTTAAAGTGACTTTCTTTCAGCGCTTTTACTCACCGATAAGTAGCCACGCCACGACAGAAAAACAACCCCGAGACATATTTGCGTCTAGGTTGGTGAATATTCAGCTCTGGGCGGCGGTATAGTAGCACCGTAGTAGTACTGCGCTGCCCGGTGAGCGTGCTCGCGGTTGCAAAAAAGCTCCCTCACAGTGAGTGACAGCCGTCGGCTTGTGCCTCCTGCAACTTTCTGACTTTGTGGCGTGAAAAAGGCTCATATATATATACGGTCAGGGGCGAAGGTGTGGCGAAATGACGCCCATCACAACTAATCTCCAAGCAGATCCTTCGGTGGGCCCGGGGAAGACAGCATCCAATTGGCCAGTCTGTAACAATCACTGGCCAATTGCCTTCCCCCACCGAAAGATCTGCTTGGAGATTCCATCACGACATCGTGCGCGTCATCCGCGAACCATACAAAGAATTGAATGAGACGAGACGGAATTCGTGGGTGGTTGGGGGTGTACACGTTTCGGGGTAACTGCGAAAACTTCCAAGATATCGGGAAGTGCATTTAGATAAGAAAAGTATCACTAACTGTGAGATTATGACGTGAATTCTTCAAAAATAGACATCAGTGTGCATTCACGATGTTTTGGGTAAGGTAAGATCACGACATTGCGACGTCATGTGGCGTCGGGTGGCGTAGTGGTAGATCGTTCGACTAGTTGGGCCCGGAACATGTGTGGACATGCGCCCCGACGTTGTGCCCTTGGGAAAGGCACTTAACACGACTTTCCTCACTCCCACCCAAGCCTGACTCCGGCCAGGTGTGAATGGGTACCTAAGTTGGGGAAAGTCGTATTGAGGTCACCTTGTGGCGCCGAATGGCAGCCGCACAGACCCTTGCGACAGTTTCACACAAAAAAAATTGTGGAGCAAATATGTGTTATCATATGTGTATTATTTAATTGTCGTGATTTGTATTGATTATTATGTGATACCCTGCGACTGCACGGGTACTGTTTGGACAATAAAAACCATTCATTATTATTATTATATATGTTCTTATCTTTTCAACATCACAGAGAAGCGAAGAGAAGTCGAAATTATGTAACAAACTGTAGTGCTAGTACTAGATTGATCTTGTTGTGTATATATCTGTGTATTCAAGTTAACCTTTGTACCTAACCCAGTGGGTATGTTTGTACAATAAAGATCTTCATTCATTCATTATTAATTATTATATAATAGACTAAAGACATCTGTCACAATTTTTAGATAACTTAAGGTAACATGACGACATTATATTGCGACGTGAACTGTAAAGAAGCTAGTGCCATGCTTTGTGTTAAAGGTAAACAAGCCCATGGCCTTTTTACACGTCCCCAAAAATGTCCTGCGACGCGCGCATCACGTCGACCGTCGTAGTCGCCCCGTGTAAACCGGGCCTACATAAATGTTGTGAAAAATGTCTGCTGCGATTTTTTTCAATCTCCTAAGAAAACAGAAGTCAAAAAAATGATTAGAAAAAAACACACAGTCATAGTGGCTCGTAGTATTGTGACATGTCCCCCACGTTTTTTTTTAAATTTACTTTTGCATAAGAACGGTAACATCACGACATTGCGGCGTGAACGCTTAAAATAGACATCTGGCGAAAGAGAGAAACATGAGAAAAAAGGTTGACAACTCCATTACCCTATATCTACTTTTATCTGACGTTAAAATCTTTATCTTAACAGTGAGAAAGAATGTTTTGAAGCAAGCTTTTGTCATTTATCCATCGCTTGCCTTGAATGTACGAGCGATCTTTTTCATCTACACCTTTGTTGACAATTTAGTTATATTATTTTTCCCGCTGTAGTTTAACCAGTCATGTTGTACGTCATGGCGAATTTATTTATTTCAATCGCCTCGTTTGAAAAGTTATATCGTCTCAGGTTGTTCTCATGCCGCATTGGCCCTTCTTTTTCCTCAGTTCAAGAATTAGAAAAGCAGCGACGTCAAGCGACGTCTGTAAATATTGCACACAGGCTTTTCCTATCTTTTGAGAAAACGCACCATCATGGAACAACGTTAGGTGGTTTACAGTGAAAGTTTTTTTTTTTACACAAAGGACAAGGACAATGACACGTACATTCAAGTTACAACTTCTTTTGTTACGCGACATACACACAAATTAAAACAGCAATAGAAAGGTAACATTTGCAAAGCAGATGCATCATGTTTACCTTCACCAATTACATGGCCCAAATATTCTTTTTCGTTTTTTATTTTTACTCAATGCACACTCATATATATAGTGACCATACAGCCCCTCATGAACTCAGATCTGCATGGCACTCGCAACATTACGTAACCCAACACCAGTTACCATGGTGACAGACGTCTGGTCCTGGCCATTGACCATATTTGTTTGGAGAAGACGAAGAGGAAGAAGAAGAAACGGAGCAAAAACGTCTGCGAAGGTAAACATAGATATTCAAGTAATTGTACACTGAATAGGATTACTTCAAGAGAGGCATAAAAGAGGCCATATACATCAGGGCACTTCAACCATCGCTCAACCGAGACGGGGGGCGATATCGACTTCAGACAACTTTTGACCCTTTGCTGACGTCACACGTGGGAAAAATCACGTGTCCACAGCATTTGGGTCAGATAGCTGAGGAAGACTGAGTGATTCAGTCGAAAATTTCTGGTGAGTCAAATTTTCAGTTGGAGAACAGTTTAAGTTTTTCATGAAGTACACTGACCTTGGTGATCACATTTGGTGGATGTCCGCAGCACGCAGAGGTGTAAGAAGACCGTCAGGGCAGACAGGCGCATGGTTCCCTCCCGGCACCCCGGGACCCTGCACCGCTCACGGCATGGGCCGCTGCCACGCACCGCGCTCCTGTAACACACATATAACATCATGACAGGGCAGACAGGCGCATGGTTCCCTCCCCGGGACTCCGCACCGCTCACGGCATGGGCCGCTGCCGCACACTGCAGCACAGACAGTCTGTTTGTTTGTTTGTTTGTTTGTTTGTTTGTTTGTTTGTTTGTTTCGCATAACTGGTAAACCGCCTTCAGGCGTAACACACCAGTTTTGCACAGTAAGTATAAGCAGCTCTTGGCTGCCGAAGGAAAACGGCTAACGGCTCGATACTGGTCTGGCACTCAGGGTAACACACATACAGTCCAGTCATGGGCCGCTGTGACACACACTGCGCTCCTGAAACAGTCCAGTCATGTTACGTTTGTTCGTTTGTTTGCTTTTTGTTTGTTTGTCACCCTTGCGCGGAGAAGGTTGTGTTCTTTAAGGGCCGTGTGCTTGTGTGTTTGTCACC